TAATAGGTTTAATGTGCATATCTCCTAAACCGCTAAAGCTATAATAACAAAATTCACTGGAAGCAAATGTTTTTGGAACCTCTACATAACAGTCTTGTATCTTATTGCGGAGCTTAGTTATGGCAATTTATTTGTTTTTGATTAATGGCATTTTGTGGGCGTGGCAGTGGTGTGATTACGCCCATCCGCAATACCAACCGTCTCCCGGTACCAAGAAATATGTCAACAAAGTTTCATAAATATATCTCAAGTTAGAGCTTCCATGGACGGACGGACGGACAGACAGTCACCCGGATTTCAACTTGTCTCTTCATCCTGATCATTTATATATACATAACCCTATATCTAACTCGATTAGTTTTAGGTGATACAAACAACCGTTAGCTGAACAAAACTATTATACTCTGTAGCAGCAGGTGCGATAGTACAAAACGTAAGCATGTTGTACTTGATGTTGCAGTGCATCCAGCAGTTCTCTACTCACACAACAAACGCCCACCCAAAATATTGCTATGATATCTATAAATAAAATGAAAATATTACTATAGCTATTCGTTATGTAATCAGAGAATGTCCGAACCACACGGAAAGACTTGAAAATTGCACAGCTATTCATTTATTCCTGCAAAAGGTCCTAAGACCTTTTGGCAAAATCGCAGTCGATTTCGTAATAACACGATGAAATTGAACGAAACATTACTATATGATTAGACATAGGGCATGCGACGCCCCGCTTCAGCTTTCCTCTTGCACCGTTGTACACTATATCTCCTATGTACAGTCGGTAAGTTAGGTAAGACAGGTGCTGATGTTCATTACGCCTGAACTATTACAGTACAATATATTTGTGATAGTATTTTAATGTAATCTTTGAAGTTTGTTATTGTGTACTTAGAAGCGTTTATTTATTTTTTGTGATAAATTGTATTATATAAATTAATTACATCTTAGCCAATAATGAGAATACAAGATTACGCCAGCCGCCATCTTGCGGCGTAATCTTTTGAGTTGAGAAGAAAAGCATGAAAAATCAATGAACCTAAAATTGTAAACAAAGGAGTAAACACTTTTTAATTCGTGAAATAAGCATATAGCAATTACAATCTTTGTCATGTCTTATGTCGTATTTCAATTGTTTTAAAATACGAGACTTATGAACACCCCTTAATCGTTGTATGTCATTTTCTGTAATATTTCTACACTACAGCTGATAGTAAAAATTAAGAATAGAAAAATGGCACGAAAGGGACAAAATAAATTATGGATTTTGATGTGAACCTTGCACTGACTTTATTAAAGTTGAATCAAGTAAGTATTTGCATACATTTCTTCATTCAATACAAATATTCACAATTTGCAGGTGAGAAAGAAGACGAAGCCATTGAAAATTTTCAATCAGCATGAGTTCTTTGCTGAGAAACCGAAGAAGCAATGCGAAATGTGTTAAGCAATCTTGGCTAAAGCAAATTCAATCAGATACTTGTGTTCACCCGGAGGAATGCGATCTTAGAATTAATTAAAATTACGCTGTTTTAAAACAAGTTTTAGTGCACCAACTCTAATCGAATAGCAACTCAAAATAGTGCCATATCGGTTGGGATCTTCGACGATAACAATCTGTTCACAAAGTGGCTTCCTTAGTCCGTGTGGATAATGGAGCACTATTAAAATGTAACCCAACGCCTTTTAAAACCATATTGCGATTAAAAATGAGTTTTATACTGGCCAATGAGAGAGAAAGCTGGAGATTGCATCTACAACTGCCAAAGAAATGCCAAGGTGGGTAGGCTACTTCGATGGTTCCGAAAAAATTAGCCGAAACTCCAGTTATGCAGCATAAATTTACTATTCGCGTAAACGTCAATATTCTGTAAAAATACAAGCGATTTGCGACTATACATTCCACATTAGGCAAGTAACGATTGGTATAAAGTAATAAGGTTTAATAATGCTAAATGTTATGAAATTTTAAAATAAATATTTTAGAGTTTCTTATTTTTATTCTTATATATCATTCTTCAAATATTTCTATTATTCTATTACATACCATTTGAAACCGACGCCCTTGCAACAATGAAAGAATTTGAAGAAAAGGTAAAAGTTACGAAACAGCATACATGATGGAATCAATTAGGATAGAATGCAAGATTTGCCAGCCGCCATCTTGAGACGAAATTCTTTTGATCTAAGAAGAAAACTTACAAGTAGAACAGTATATGGTTCTAAACAAAACTTAAACACTTTGTTAATTCGAAAAATGTACTTACATTATTTGTTTATAGTAAAACATTCGTTGGTAAACAAATACTTGATTTTATTCGCCAAAGAAAAAATTATCAATATAAGTACACCGTTGAGTGTCAAAGTCTTCGAGCTCCGAGAATCTCATACATGTAGTGATACGAATATGATATGATATGAGTGCAATATATTCTACTGCACTATAATTCCTTTGATTAATTGGCGATATCAGCTTGAGTAAATGAAAAATATCCACGAAAAGAACTTGTCATTGCAACGATCTACATATCTCATATAAAAACTTGAGGATATCAGGTATGCAACAGTTCGTTGTTATATACACTCATGGTGCTACTCTTTTAGCAGGGGTGATGATCACATACCATGAACTCTCGGTAGTCACTTTAATATAAATTTGCGGATATTGCGTCCTTGCCACTACTTCACTTTCTTCGTGAAAACTCGTATGATATGAATAACGACCGGAAAGTTGCCGCGACTAAATCAGGAAGAACGAACTCTATCACTAGAAATTGCACTATTTAGAATCATAACATATGTTTCATACTTCAGTTACCATAAAGGCATAATATTCGCTATAGCTATACCTGTCCGACAGAATAAATGTACAAATTCAGGAAATAAAATAATATTAAATTGTGTAACAAATATTATTATTCATATCCCTGTAATATGTACAATATAACTCTTTTCTCACTCACTCTCAATGAACCGATAAAAGTATCACTTCTATCAGTGTATTTCCGAGGTGCCTTTCGGTAATGCTCAAAGGACTATGTTTATATTTGAGCCCAATATATTGCTAAGAACACAGCACTTTATGTTAACTTTATTAGGTAGCACCCACACGATGGCTTAAAATAAAAATGCGCATGTAATTCGAATGTTAACTTTAGTTTATTGTGGAAATTGAATTTGGCATTTATTTTGTATAATTAAATTCGAAAATATATATATGTAAATACAATTTGAAACGGAAACGATCGCTGGATTTACATAGCGCAACAAAGTTCATGATCCAAACAGAACTTTATAAAACGAATTGATGTTGCGCGTAGCTGTCGAGTTAGCGCCTAGGATGTTGATATCCGTGTATGTAATATGGCCATGTGTGGTGATATCCGTGTATGGTGTGATTGTGAGTAGTGTTCCCAGGTGTGGTGGGTTGCTTTAGGGTGCGCCAGTTTTTTTCAAAGTAGGTGGTGTGTAAATTAAGGGGGAAACTTCGCTCATTTAAGCATCTGGTTAGCAACTGTCTGTCACTTGAGTTTTGGTTAGAGTGTTTTGTTAAGTTCCCAACCAGCACAAGAAATGACAGCTGTCATTCTCTTGTCGCTTATTAAACAAAAGTAGTAATAATATTTAAATTTTCCAACATAGTGTTAATAACTTTTTAAAACCGAGCTGTTGCGGCCATGAAAAGAATTTGAAAATGAAATAGAATGCTTTGTGTAGCAGCGAGCTATTACTGGAAAAGAAAGAGCGTGCCACCCGAGAACGAGCGGCACTGTGTCTTCGTCTTTTCTGATCGGTTCCTTGTCTACGGTTTGGGCGACAAAACGAGCCCTTGTGTGAACATTCACATACATAACTCATGGCGTTAACACAGTTTTTGTATGTTCACAATGCATACATTTTCTGAACTGTTTTTCCCACGCATTCACACACACTCACAATAGTCAAACTATCTGTAGGTAAGCTAAACACAACTTGGTGAAAACGGTTCTGTCAGTTAAAACTATCATTTAGTTAAGTTAACAGCGGTTAAGGTTAATATCAACCGTGCATTGAGAAAACGGCCTTTAACATGTTGATATCGAATTTTCCAATAGAGATGATACGATTTCTAAGTATCGTTTTGGCCATTTCAATATGTCATGATCTATAATTTTTTTACATTGTATTCAGTAATGTTTACAATTTTATCATGAAAAGATATACGGAAGAACAAAGTTTGCAACAGTTGATAATGTGGTGTGGTTTTAAGTCTGGTGGAGTCATCGGTCCGTATTTCATTTGAAATGAAGCTTGTGACACAGTTACTGTCAGTGGAGGGCAGTATAGATCGATGATAACCAACTTTTTATTGCCGCAATTTGAAGTTGATCTTGACGACATCTGCTTCCAACAAGATAGGGCTACGTTTTAGATTCCATAATTTCAAGAAATTGTGACATTGAATGGCCTCCAAGAAGTTGTGATTTAACACCATTAGACTACTTCTTGTGAAGTTATTTGAAGTTATTGGTCTTTAGCAATAAACCAGACTCTCTTCCAGTCAAAATACTGCACTTCGTACTATAACAGAAGATGAGCTCGAGTTGCCTCGTGAATCTACACTCATTGCAATACCGTGGAACGTTTTGTGGGCCCACCGTCAGATGATTTTAATGACAAGTAACTTACTCCATGTCAGCTAGACGCGTATGTTTGAGGTCAAGAAATTTGATAGAGATAACAAAAATGTACAAAAAGTAATGAAAAAGTAGAAAATTTACGAAAAAAATTCGCAATGGCTGCAAAATATTCTACACCAAACTCATGTTAATTTTCGTGGAACGAAGTATAGCAAAGCATTTTGAAGCGTAGCTGTAATGTCACATATTCCCCCATACACAAAATATTTGTTGTGTAGCTGTAATGTTACTCGTACATATTCACACTTACACTTCGCTGATATTTCTGTTTCTGCAATGATGTGCTCTTGTGCTCTTACATATTTCTTTCTTGTTTCTTTTATTTCTTCAAAATCGGAGAAGTAACATAAGTGTGTCCTTATAAAAAACAGCTGAGAAGTTCTGCGCCCCACCGTGTATCATACTGTGATTTACCCCTATTCCAAGACTGTCAAGTTTTGCGGTTGGACGGCATAGTATTCCTCCCGCCCTTGTCACTTAATTGAATCGAATATGGTACTCGTATATCCATCTATAGCTGGAAATACTTTGGTTACACACCCTTTCTGCCATTTGCTTCGGAACTGAATATCATCGCAAATTAGTACCAATTATTTATCTTTCCATTTCTGACGAAGCGGTAACTGTGGTAAACAGTGTTGTATTCTTTATTTCCAGAATCTATACTTGAAATGCTGAGCTTTCATTCTTCTTTTACGTGTTTAGTTCTCTTTTTAAAATTTCGAATTGCACTGTTTTCACTATGTAAGTATGTCTCGACCTCGGCTAGTTCTTCAAAGTCTAATGAAATGCCTAGGTTGACCCTGCCGCGGTAGTTTTGCTTCCGACAGAGCTTTAAGAAAATTTTAACTGCTCATTGAACCTAAGCCAACACCCGCTTTAGCTTTGAAAATGAAAAAATTATTTACCTCAGGATGTTTATATTAGGACCTCAGGAATTCGGAACCTCATAGCCATGCGTTAAATCGCAATCGAATTAAAATATTCGGCAATGATTTCATGGTAATACGGCTGGAAATACTACCGTTGATGTGTTTTGCAAAAACTTAAGATGGGCGTTATCGACTTTTTTAAATGATTGTACCGGCAAATCTACGACTAATATCGAGGTTGTCTTTCGACGATTCTTCTGTTGTGAACTTTTGTCCATGCCACTAGAGTGTTAACGGCTTTCTACGACCTTTGATACCTAGACGGACGGACGGACGGACAGACAGTCACCCGGATTTCAACTTGTCTCTTCATCCTGATCATTTATATATACATAACCCTATATCTAACTCGATTAGTTTTAGGTGATACAAACAACCGTTAGCTGAACAAAACTATTATACTCTGTAGCAACAGGTTGCGAGAGTATAAAAAGTAAGCATGTGTTGTACTTGATGTTGCAGTGCACCTCAGCAGGTCTCTGATCCACACAACAAACGCCCACCCAAAAATATTGCTAATGATATCTTATAAATAAAAAATGAAAATATTACTATAGCTATTCGTTATGTAATCAGAGAATGTCCGAACCACAGCACGGAAAGACTTGAAAATTTGCACAGCTATTCATTTATTCCTGCAAAAGGTCCTAAGACCTTTTTGGCAAAATCGCAGTCGATTTCGTAAATACATTCGATGAATATTGAACGAAACATTACTATATGATTAGACATAGGGCATGCGACGCCCCCGCTTCAGCTTTCCTCTTGCACCGTTGTACACTATATCTCCTATGTACAGTCGGTAAGTTATAGGTAAGACAGGGTGCTGATGTTCATTACGCCTGAACTATTACAGTACAATATATTTGTGATAGTATTTTAATCGTAATCTTTGAAGTTTGTTATTGTGTACTTAGAAGCGTTTATTTATTTGTTGTGATAAATTGTATTATATAAATTAATTACATCTTAGCCAATAATGATAGAATACAAGATTACGCCAGCCGCCATCTTGCGGCGTAATTCTTTTGAGTTGAGAAGAAAAAGCATGAAAAACTATCAATGACCCTAAAAATTGTAAACAAAGGAGTAAACACTTTTTTAATTCGTGAAATAAGCATATAGGCAATTCACAATCTTTGTCGTATGTCTTATGTCGTATTTCAATTGTTTTTAAAAATACGAGACTTATGAACACCCCTTAATCGTTGTATGTCATTTTCTGTAATATTTCTACACTACAGCTGATAGTAAAAAATTAAGAATAGAAAAATGGCACGAGAAAGGGACAAAAATAAAATTATGGATTTTTGATGTGAAAACCTTGCACTGACTTTATTAGAAGTTGAATCAAGTAAGTATTTGCATACATTTCTTCATTCAATACAAATATTCACAATTTGGCAGGTGAGAAAGAAGACGAAGCCATTGAAAATTTTTCAATCAGCATGAGTTCTTTGCTGAGAAACCGAAGAAGCAATGCGAAATGTGTTAAGCAATCTTGGCTAAAGCAAATTCAATCAGATACTTTGTGTTCACCCGGAGGAATGCGAATCTTAGAATTAATTAAAAATTACGCTGTTTTTAAAACAAGTTTTAGTGCTACCCAACTTCTAATCGAATAGCAACTCAAAATAGTGCCATATCGGTTGGGATCTTCCGACGATGAACAATCTGTTCACAAAGTGGCTTCCTTAGTCCGTGTGGATAATGGAGGCACTATTAAAAATGTAACCCAACGCCTTTTTTAAAACCATATTGCGATTAAAAAATGAGTTTTATACTGGCCCAATGAGAGAGGAAAGCTGGAGATTGCATCTACAACTGCCAAAGAAATGCCAAGGTGGGTAGGCTACTTCGATGGTTCCGAAATAAAATTAGCCGAAACTCCAGTTATGCAGCATAAAATTTACTATTCGCGTAAACGTCAATATTCTGTAAAAATACAAGCGATTTGCGACTATACATTCCACATTAGGCAAGTAACGATTGGTATAAAAGTAATAAGGTTTAATAATGCTAAATGTTATGAAATTTTTAAAATAAATATTTTAGAGTTTCTTATTTTTATTCTTATTAATCATTCTTCAAAATATTTCTATTATTCTATTACATACCATTTGAAACCGACGCCCTTGCAACAATGAAAAGAATTTGAATGAAAAGGTTAAAAGTTACGATAACAGCATACATGATGGAATCAATTAGGATAGAATGCAAGATTTGCCAGCCGCCATCTTGAGACGAAATTCTTTTGATCTAAGAAGAAGAAACTTACAAGTAGAACAGTATATGAGTTCTAAACAAAAACTTAAACACTTTTGTTAATTCGAAAAATGTACTTACATTATTTGTTTATAGTAAAACATTCGTTGGTAAACAAATACTTGATTTTATTCGCCAAAGAAAAAAAATATCAATATAAGTACACCGTTAAGTGCTAAAGTCTTCGAGCTCCGAGGATCTCATATATGCAGTGATACGAATATGATATGATATGAGTGCAATATATTCTACTGCACATATAATTCCTTTGATTGAAATTGGCGATATCAGCTTGAGTAAATGAAAAATATCCAACGGAAAAGAACTTGTCATTGCAACGATCTACATATCTCATAATAAAAACTTGAGGATATCAGGTATTGCATACAGAGTTCGTTGGTTATATACACTCATGGCGGTGCTACTCTTTTTAGCAGGGGTGATGATCACATACCATGAACTCTCGGTAGTCACTTTAATATAAATTTTGCGGATATTGCGTCCTTGCCACTACTTCACTTTCTTCGTGAAAAACTCGGTATAGATATGAATAACGACCGGAAAGTTGCCGCGACTAAATCAGGAAGAACGAACTCTATTCACTAGAAATTGCACTATTTAGAATCATGAACATATGTTTCATACTTCAGTTACCATAAAGGCATAATATTCGCTATAGCTATACCTGCTCCGACAGAATATAATGTACAAATTCAGGAAATAAAATAAATATTAAATTTGTGTAACAAATATTATTATTTCGATTATCCCTGTAATATGTACAATATAACTCTTTTTCTCACTCTCACTCTCAATGAACCGATAAAAAGTATTCACTTCTATCATGTGTATTTTCCGAGGTGCCTTTCGGTAATGCTCAAAGGACTATGTTTATATTTGAGCCCAATATATTGCTAAGAACACAGCACTTTATGTTAACTTTATTAGGTAGCACCCACACGATGGCTAAAATAAAAATGCGCATGTAATTCGAATGTTAACTTTAGTTTATTGTGGAAATTGAATTTGGCATTTATTTTGTATAATTAAATTCGAAAATATATATATGTAAATACAATTTGAAACGGAAACGATCGCTGGATTTACATAGCGCAACAAAGTTCATGATCCAAACAGAACTTTATAAAACGAATTGATGTTGCGCGTAGCTGTCGAGTTAGCGCCTAGGATGTTGATATCCGTGTATGTAATATGGCCATGTGTGGTGATATCCGTGTATGGTGTGATTGTGAGTAGTGTTCCCAGGTGTGGTGGGTTGCTTTAGGGTGCGCCAGTTTTTTTCAAAGTAGGTGGTGTGTAAATTAAGGGGGAAACTTCGCTCATTTAAGCATCTGGTTAGCAACTGTCTGTCACTTGAGTTTTGGTTAGAGTGTTTTGGTAAGTTCCCAACCAGCACAAGAAATGACAGCTGTCATTCTCTTGTCGCTTATTAAACAAAAGTAGTAATAATATTTAAATTTTCCAACATAGTGTTAATAACTTTTTAAAACCGAGCTTGTGCAGCCATGAAAAGAATTTGAAAATGAAATAGAATGCTTGGTGTAGCAGCGAGCTATTACTGGAAAAGAAAGAGCGTGCCACCCGAGAACGAGCGGCACTGTGTCTTCGTCTTTTCTGATCGGTTCCTTGTCTACGGTTTGGGCGACAAAACGAGCCTTGTGTGAACATTCACATACATAACTCATGGCGTTAACACAGTTTTTGTATGTTCACAATGCAAATTTTCTGAACTGTTTTTCCCACGCATTCACACACACTCACAATAGTCAAACTATCTGTAGGTAAGCTAAACACAACTTGGTGAAAACGGTTCTGTCAGTTAAAACTATCATTTAGTTAAGTTAACAGCGGTAAGGTTAATATCAACGTGCATGAGAAAACGGCCTTTAACATGTTGATATCGAATTTTCCAATAAGATGATACGATTTTAAGTATCGTTTGGCCATTTCATAATGTCATGATCTATAATTTTTCATTGTATTCAGTAAGTTTACAATTTTATCATGAAAAGATATACGGAAGAACAAAGTTTGCAACAGTTGATAATGTGGTGTGGTTTTAAGTCTGGTGGAGTCATCGGTCCGTACTTCATTTGAAATGAAGCGAGAAAGCATAGCTTCACGAGCGGTCTGGTTAGCATTCCGCTTTGTGTACGAAGATCAACCCCTCGTATGTGACCGTCGGAGCCGTAATGTAGCTTTTGTCATGGATGATGACACAATCTCCAAGCTTTGGTGCTTGTTCAGGAGTCTTCCAACGGTATCGTTTATGGAGATCCTTTATATATTCTTCTTTCCATCGACGGCTGAAATCGTGATGGAGAATTTTAATTCTTTCCCAGCGATTTAATAAGGATAGCGACTCCACGCCTGGCTCAGGTATGGCCAGAATGGTGTTCCTTTGAGAAGTGCCCTGGAGTTAAGGCTGTGAAATCGGAGATCTTGCGAAAGGATTGTAAGAGGCCGTGAATTGAGAACGGCTATTAAGAATTAATAATATCGTAAATTCTTCGTAATTGAATTTGTAATTTCCAGCTATTTTTGAAGTGGGATTTGAAGCTTTACAGCTGATTCATAAACACCCTATGAGGAGCGCTGGAGGATGAATGCCAATTAAGTGCTTGGTGCGCGTACTTTTTACAATCTCAGGTGAGACTTGTTTGATAAAGTCCACAATTGTTTTCGGTGGCTCTTTGAGCGCCGATAAATGTTTTACCATTATCGCTCATGATCTTCGATGGAAAGCCGCGTCGACCGACGAAGCGAGCAAATGCCGCAAAACCTCCTTCGTCAGATTAGTACAAAGCTCAAGGTGCACTGCTTTCGTCGTAAAACAGACAAAACAGCCACATAGCCTTTCATCAGAGTGGGAGACCTTAACATGGACGCCTTTATTTGAAAAGGCCCAGCAATTCGACACCTGTGATGGAGAAAGGCAGAGCGAAGTGCAGCGTTCCGGGGAAGTGCTGCCATAATCTGTGTTCTCATCTTTCGCTTGTGCATGGTACAGATTTTGCACAAGAAAATGCACTTCTTATATTGGGCTTAGGTCGAGGAATGTAAAATTCCTGGCGGACCATATGTTACATAAGGCGATGTTCAGCATGAAGCATTAATATGTGGATATAATTGATGAGTAGTGTGGCAAGTCGAGACTTCTCTGAACAATTATGGGATGGCGTTCGTTATACGTTAAGCTTGAAATTGGCAAGCCGACCATTCACACAAGAAGACCTTTCGTGTCGAGGAATGGGTTTAGAACTAAGAGGGGACTTCTCTTGTCAATAGGTTTTGATTCTCGCAAAAGTGATGTATCGCGGCGGAAGTAGCGCGCTTGCGTAGATGCGATAAGAGAGACTTTGCTTTTGTAAGTCTAGGTGCGTCACTGTATCGCCTTGAGAGTGTAATGAAGTTACTCCTTAATTTTAATTTCGAGTCGTTCTATGAACTTGAGCATGTAAGCGATTACTCGAGTGCTCGGGGAACGATGAAAATCGTTCAAGGATGTCAGTATCATCCACTGTTGTGTGAAAAGGGTCGATTTTCGACTTTCTGGGGCAATTAATATGGCGCATGGGCGATGTGGCCAAGAATCGGAGATTCTGTAACCATCGGGGCCATTCCACCAGAGGGTGGTGGTGGCAAGATGCAGGGGTTTGCATCCTCTTGTACCTAGATCACAGGATTGTCAGCACTGGCTACATGTCGCCAATGGCTGATCCTACTAGCCAAGTATTTGAGACGTTCGGTTGGAAATATACGTCTTCCATGCATGTGGTAGTTTTCTAACCAGGCTAGTACAATTTCGGAATCGGACCATAGATATAATTTATATTGTGCCATGTTTAAATGCATTCGCACCATGGATACTAGTTTGGCTAGTTCTGCTAGCACTCCACACAGTTCAAGTCGTGGCAGACTTATTGTTTTTAAAGGAGCACTTTGCTTTGCTACTAGCAAGTGGCATGTGGTCACAGTGCCATTTTGTGTGCGAACATATATAGTTGCGCAATATGCCTTTCAGAAGCGTCACAGAAGCCGTGTAGTTCGACTTTGTGCTCTGGGGCATAATTTACCATCGTGGATTTGTATCTGTGAGATATCGTTTAGATTGTTCGCAAACTGGGACCACCTTTCTAAACGAAGTGGTTTTACTTGTTCGTCTCAGTCGGTTCCATCTAGCCATAATTCTTGTATTAGGATTTTGGCTTGTATCATAACTGGCGAAAGCCATCCTGCGGGTCAAAAGTTTCGCCACAGAGAATAGAATTTGTCGCTTTGTTATGCGGAATAACGCAGATATTGACTCTGTAGTGTATGAAAACTGGTCAGATATCGCATTCCAATGGATCCCCAGAGTTTTTGTTGTACTTTCCTTCTCGAATTTAAGGAAATTAGTATCTAACAAATTTTCATGTGGTATATTTTTTAAAATATTAGGGTGGTTCGCCGTTATCTTTTTCAACGGAAACCCTGCGGTTTTGAGGGCTTTTACCACTTGTGAGAGGGACTCGTATGCTTGTGACTGTGACTTCCAGACAAGATATCGTCTACATATGTTTGTGTTTTTAACACTTTGGTTGCCATAGGAAATTTTGACTTTGGGTTTTCTGCCAATATAATAATTCGCTGAAAATCTTGATCGTCTTTATGTACGCCAATTTAAAATGAGTAGCATTAAATCTGGTTGGAGCGTGGGTCCCGTAAATAGAATATCATTTAGGGAATTCCCTGAGCTAGTAGATCTTAAAGCATTAAAAACAACTCTTACTTTAGTTGTTTTTTTGTCTGGCTTTACCCCTGCATGATGCGGCAAGTAAAATGAGTGGTATTTGCCGTTGATGATTATTTGTTTTTTTCCATACTTTGAAACTGCTGTATTGCAGAGGTGCGAGAGTGACCTAAGGCGATGTTGTTGGGAAATTGTTTTTTTAGTGGTAGTCGTACGACGTACCAACCATTATCTGATCTAGTAGTTGTGGCTTTGTAAAAGTCTTCACAATCCTTACATACGTACATACAGTGCTTATTGAAAATTGTGACATTACCTGCTATTGCCAATTCTTCTCTCGCGCTCTTTTACGACTATACATAATTCGCTTTTTTACATTACTTACAGTATAAAATACGCTTATACTTATATACCTATATATGTAATATGGTAAATACGGTTCGGTAAAAAAAACGCGGATTATTTAATAAAATCATACTATTTTATATAAATAATACAAAATTTTGAACAATATACATACATATTGGTTCAAACTAAATTTATATTTATATTCAAAGTCCACTTTGGCATATATCCCGCAATACCCTTGCAGCAAGCAAGCAGGATTGCGTCCAAATTTTTTCAGCACAAATAATTCGTGCTTACTAGTTACTAGGGTCAAAGTGCATTGATCTCTTCAACGAGCTCTCGATTGCACAAGTACATAATATACATAACTACAAGTCCACGCATTGGTATACCTACATACCCCTAAATAAGGACATCAAAAAATAAAAAATTAAATAGATAAACAATTTATTCAATAAATTGTTAAATTAAATTAAAATAATACG